CGTCGCGTTCCGCGCGCGCCTCAAAGAGCCATCAGACCACCACAGATGGGGCCCAATAGGGCCGATGCCGATTCGGAGTCGCGGAGAACCTAACGGGTAACCGGGGCTCCGGCTCGACGTGCAGGAGAAGGAACGGGGTGGTCAGTAAGAGTCTGACACTCCCTCCCGCCTCACCCAGACGGGAGCAGTATTGCAATGATTTCCCCCCCTTAAAAAAAAAAGACCTGAGAGCAGTGCTCTATGATAAACCTGAACCTTTTTAATAAAAAAAGAAATAGATTTTACAATTTTAATTGTTTTTGTTTTCATGTTATTCATACATCAGCCTTGAGCAGTTGATTACAATTATAATTACATAAAAGAAATATTTAATTCCTTACTTTTCTATACATATAGGTAATAAAATCGTAATAAAGTGAAAACTGCACATAGAATATTTTTTTTAAAAGAATGCTTTGGCTGTGATCTACAATCGATACCGAAGCCAAAAAATATGGTTTTTAGAATCTTTGTCTGTTTGTCTATATGTATGTCCGGAATAAACTCATAAAGTGCTGCAAGATTTAACTTAAATTTTGCATGATTGGTACTGATAGGTCGGGTCAACATATAGGCTACATATTATCACGCTACCACCTATGGGAGCGGAGCTCTGAATCACTCTTCCACGCGGACGAAGTCGCGAGCACAGGTAGTATTACAATAAAACTTATTTTTTACCATCACCCGTGGGCGTTTTTCGGGAGAGTTCCTTATACACCCTGTAGATCGGAAATAGTATTCGCTTCTTTAAACTTATAAAGGATAAAAGAAAATAAATATTTTTGCAATGAAGAAAAACACCGAATGGAATGTGTTCATACATTTTCATGCAACTCACAAATTAATCTACACGCAATTTTCTATCGATATCTCAATTTATCGACTGCGAAAATTTCCCCCCTCACTATACCCCAAACTCACAATATTTACGTTTACGTATCGAGTTCGGATGTTCATTCATGATTCACATTTTTTTGTTAATTTTTCATAAACAAATATTTTAACTGTTAATGTTACAGTTAACGACTTCAACCGTTTATTTGTTGAGATAACGGCGATAAGAGTGTGCTGTTTGTCGAGTGATTGTAAGTGAATGCCGAGTTATGGAGTCTAGGATTTTTATTCAAGGGTCGCAAACCCTATTATATATTTTTATTTTATCCACCCAAAGGTTGTCTTGTAGAGGTAGAAATCACTATAAGTGATAAGACCACCTTTGTGATCATTATTATTTTTTACTAGCTGACCCGGCAAACTTCGTAGCGCCTAAAAGGTTTTTCTCACCTTTTAAACCTTCCCTAGACTTCCACGAACCTATCAAGACAAAAATTAGCCAAATCGGTTCAGCCATTCTCGAGTTTTAGCGAGACTAACGAACAGAAATTCATTTTTATTTATATAGATAGATTTATGTTTGTCATTTCCTTTTCTGCATTGTAGGTACTTTTTTTTAAGGGGGGAAAATCATCGAATGACTGCTCCCGCCTGGGTGAGGCGGGAGGGAGTGTCAGACTCTTACTGACTAAAAACCACCCCGTTCCTTCTCCTGCACGTCGAGCCGGAGCCCCGGTTACCCGTTAGGTTCTCCGCGAC